CTTTCGTTTATATATTGATTGTACAGTTTCGTTATTGTAACCAGCAAAATAAATTCTACCAGGGTATCGTTGCGAATTAACGTATTTTAAAATAGAACCAAAAGAAAAGCGTCCGCCATGTTTTTTTTCGACCGCTCTCGACTTTTGTGTGGCGGGCAGATTAATCGAGTAGGCCATAGGGTTAACGCTGGGACTCTGGGATCGCCCTTTTCTTTTCGAGCTGCAAGACCCACCGAACCGAAAGTTAAGTAGAGTGAAGGTTTATGGCCACAGAAACCAAAGGTAATAATATAGTAAAAAGAAACTGCAATGTTTATATGAGCCTTTGAATTTATTTTGCTGGACCGTCTTAGTTTTATTTTATTTTGTAGTCTTATTTTATGTTTCGTTTTAATGTTATTATTTTATGTTGTCTCAGTTTCTTTTTTATTGTGTTCTTGTTTTACGTTTCGTTTTTTTTAGATTTTATTTTAGTTGTTTTAATTTCTATTTTTTCATAGCTTTTATATTGTGTTTACGATTTATATTTCGGTTTATTTGTTTTGGTACCACAAACCTGCCATTTATTTATTTTATTATGATGATGATGATTATTGTTTTTTAGTATGGATCAGATCTTGAAATTTCAAAAATCACTGCAACCCAAATAATGGTGGCAGCTGATGAGTGGATTGCAGGTTTTTTGTACGTTTGACTGTTCCAGAGTCCATTTTTTTCTTTAGCTTGTGTCTATTTTTCTTTTTCTTATTTGCAATCGGTTAGTTACTGTGCCACGATTATTGGTTTAACTTTTGTTTTATGTTCTGTGATTCATTTTTGTTGTATTGTGTTTTCTGTTCTGTAATCTATTCGTTTTATGTTTTACCTTTTATTGCTTTATACTCTGTAATCCGTTTGTTTCATTGTGTTTTATGCTCTATCCGTCGGATGCTGTTTCCGCCTCACCTGTGTCCAGTCTTTCGGATGCTGTTTCCGCCTCACCTATGTCCAGTCCGTGGGCTGCTGCTGCCGCCTCACCTGTGTCCAGTCCGTGGGATGCTGCTGCCGCCTCACCTGTGTCCAGTCCGTGGGATGCTGCCGCCCCCGCCGCCGCCGCCGCCTGTGTCCAACCCACCTGACATAGGAGAGGTCGTCAACCCCGATTTTGACTTTGAAGAAGATGGCTTTGACTTACAGCAAGGCCAAGTGGACTTTGGGTTCAGTGAAGACGAGGTCCATGTTTTCCTGAGCTAAAGTTTGACCCTGTTCCTGTGGATGTTACCTTACCCCCACTTCCCGAGTTTGAAGAAAAAGGTTTAATTTCATCAACATGGTTTTGATGCTGTGGAGGAGGAACCCCAGGTGAGTGCACTCCATCACCACCATAACCATCATCACCACCATCATCATCATCATCGTCACCACCACCACCACCACCACCACCACCACCACCACCACCACCACCACCACCACCACCACCACCATCACTACCACCACCACCACCATCACTACCACCACCACCACCACCACCATCACTACCACCACCACCACCACCACTACCATCACTACCATCACTACCACCACCACCACTATCACTATCACTATCACTATCACTATCACTACCACCACCACCAAAACCATCACCATTATCACCACCACCACCACCACCATCACTACCACCACCACCACCACCACCATCACTACCACCACCACCACCACCACTACCATCACTACCACCACCACCACTATCACTATCACTATCACTATCACTATCACTACCACCACCACCACCACCATTACCACCATTATCACCACCACCACCATCATTACCACCACCATCACCACCACCATTACCACCATTATCACCACCACCACCATCATTACCACCACCATCACCACCACCTCCACTATCACCACCACCTCCACTATCACCACCACCACTATCACCACCACCAACACCAGTATCACCACCACCACTATCACCACCACCACCACTATCACCACCACCACTACTATCACCACCACCACCACTATCACCACCACCACCATTACTATCACCACCACAGTCATTATCACCATCACTATCGCCATCACCACTATAGTGATCTGAACATTTTTAAGTGGGTTAACCCCTTTATTTGTGGAGCGCTATCTCTTGGCCAGCACGCCTCTCCAAGGAAGGCTGGCCAAAAATGCACTTTTTTAACATTTAACGTTTTATATACTTTTTTATTGAGTTTCATTTGGTTTAGTTGTTAGTTTTTAATGTCCTTAATTGTTTTATTTGTATGTTTGTCCGTATTTCTATTTGTTTTAGTTCATGATTTTAACCTTCCGTTTATCGTATTTTTGAACTTTTATTTGTTCTTATTTTTATCGTTTAAACTTGTTTGTTCTTATTTTTATCGTTGGGAATTAACATGTTTTAAAATAGAACGAAAAGATAAGTGTTTTTTTTCAGCCTACCACAAACCTGCCATTTATTTTTTTATTTGATTATTTTTTTTTTAGTATGGATCAGATCTTAAAATTTCAAAAATCACTACAACCCAAATAATGGTGGCAGCTGCGTTTGTTTGACTATTCCAGAGTCCATTTTTCCTTAGCTTTGTCAATTTTTATTTTTATTTTTTTTTCAATAGGTTTTAGTTACTGTGTCACGATTATTGGTTTAACATTTGTTTTATGTTCTGTGATGTTTTACTGCTTTACGTTTTTTGCTTTCTGTTCAGTAATCTATTTGTTTTATTGTGTTTTATGCTCTATCCGTGGGATGCTGTTGCCGCCTCACCTGTGTCCAGTCCTTCGGATGCTGTTGCCGCCTCACCTGTGTCCAGTCCTTCGGATGCTGTTGCCGCCTCACCCGTGTACAGTCCGTGGGATGCTGTTGCCGCCTCACCTGTGTCCAGTCCGTGGGATGCTGTTGCCGCCTCACCTATGTCCAGTCCTTCGGATGCTGTTGCCACCTCACCTGTGTCCAGTCCGTGGGATGCTGTTGCCGCCTCACCTGTGTCCAGTCCGTGGGATGCTGTTGCCGCCTCACCTGTGTCCAGTCCGTGGGATGCTGTTGCCGCCTCACCTGTGTCCAGTCCGTGGGATGCTGTTGCCGCCTCACCTATGTCCAGTCCTTCGGATGCTGTTGCCACCTCACCTGTGTCCAGTCCGTGGGATGCTGCTGCCGCCTCACCTATGTCCAATCCGTGGGATGCTGTTGCCGCCTCACCTATGTCCAGTCCGTGGGATGCTGTTGCTGCCTCACCTGTGTCCAGTCCTTCGGATGCTGTTGCCGCCTCACCTGTGTCCAGTCCGTGGGATGCTGCTGCCGCCTCACCTGTGTCCAGTCCTTCGGATGCCACCACTTCCCGAGTTTGAGGAAAAAGGTTTAATTTCATCAACATCCAACAATGCAGCCATGAGTTTTAATGCTGTGAAAGAGGAACCCCAGGTGAGTGTTCCTACTGCGACGCTTCCAGACATCAGTCAATATCGCCAAGACACGCAGCTTCCCCGGAGCGGACATCAGCAGCGACCATGAGCTCGTCATGATGTCCTTCCGCCTACACCTCAAGAAGATGAAGAAGAAACAGGGCCACACCAGAATTAAGCTTGATCTGAAGAAATTGGAGGACCCTGATGTGGCACAAGTCTTCGAGGCCAAGATTGGAGGGAAATTCGCTTTCATCGACACATTCGGTCAATGAAGTTATCGGCAAGAAGCGGACCACAAAGAAGCCTTGGGTCACATCAGACTTACTCAAGCTGTGACGAAAGGAGAGACCTGAAGCAGTTCAAGTATGAAAGTGAGGAGGGAGCGGAGAAGTACAGGAAAGCTGACAAACAGGTCAAGATGAGCATGCTCAAGGCTAAGGAAGACTGGTTTACTGATATGTGGAACGTCATTGAACAGAACCTCCAAGCAAACGCCAAGAAGGCCTACCAAGAAGTGAAGGACCTCACCAGCAGCAAGCAAGGACGGCCCAGAACCATTCTCGACAAAAATGGGAAGTGTCTGACCTAGTCCAAAGACATCTTGAACAGGTGAACAGAGTACACCGCAGATCTATACTCATACCGCGGAACAGGAAACACAGAGAAGCTCAACACCCCCCTGACAACAGACAAACAGTTTCCCCATCCTCAGAGAAGTGGAGGAAGCAGTGAAGTCCCTGAAGAAAGGAAAATCAGCAGGTATTTGTAACATCCCAGGAGAACTAGTGCAAGCAGAGGGTGAGGCCATGATCGATGCGCTACATGCAATCTGCCAGAAGATCTGGGAGACACGAGAGTGGCCAACACCATGGACGCAGTCTTTAGTGATCACCCTACCCAAGAAAGGCAACCTACAACAGTGCAACAACTACCGCACCATCAGCCTTGATATGCCATCCAAGCAAAGTGATGCTCAGGATCATATTGAACAGGTTAAGACCCCAGATTGAAGCAATTATAGCTGAAGAGCAGGCAGAATTCAGGGCAGGGCGCAGCACAACTGAGTAGATCTTCAAGCTCAGGATTCTGTGCGAGAATTACCTTCAACACCAACAAGAACTCTACCACATATCCTTAGACTTCAAGAAGGCATTTGACAGAGTGTGGCATGCGGTACTATGGGCTACCATGAACTACTACAACATCAACCCTAACATCATCTGCATCATAGAGAACCTCTACAAGACCAGCAGTGCAGTTTACCTCAACGGGGACATTGAAGACTCCAAACCACAGTTGGAGTGAGACAAGGATGCTTGCTCTCGCCCGACACTCTTCATTGTTTTCCTTGAAAGAATTATGACTGCTTGGCATCTCTTACAAAGACCACATAATCAATGAGGAAGTCAAAAACAGAATGAGGCAAGGCATTGGTCCCTATGAAGATCTCACTACCATCAAGAGTCAGAGGATGAAGAAAGAGAGAAAGATAGAAGAGATGGGAAGACATCACAGAATGGACAGGATTGAAGCTGAGCGAGGCGGTCAAACGTGCGAAGGAGAGGGAGAGATGGAGAGGACTGGTTGACAGGTCATCTGTAGCGCCCCAACGGCAACCGCCAAGGGGCAGATGAGATGAGATGAGATGAGGCAGCTTCGGACTCCCGTGCCCGTGAGTAGTTGTAGTGATCTGAACATTTTTAAGTTGGTTAACCCCTTTATTTGTGGAGCGCCATCTCTTGGCCAAGCACGCCTCTCCAAGGAAGGCTGACCAAAAATACTTTTTTTTTTAACAATTAATGTTTTATATACTGTTTTATTGAGTTTCATTTGGTTTAGTTATTAGTTTATAATGTCCTTAATTGTTTTATTTGTATTTTTGTCCGTATTTCTATTTGTGTTTTAGTTCATGATTTTAACCTTTCGTTAATCGTATTTTCAACTTTTGTTCCCATTTTTATATTTATTGTACAATTTTGTTATTTTGTCGTAACCAGCAAAATAAATTCTACCAGAGTATCGTTGCGAATTAACATTTTAAAAAATAGAAGCAAAAGATAGGCGTCCGCCATGTTATTTTTTTTCGGCCGCTCTCGACTTTTGTGTGGCGGGCAGATTAATCGAGTAGGCCATAGGGTTAACGCTGGGACTCTGGGATCGCCCTTTTCTTTCCGAGCTGCAAGATCCCTTTTTTTTTTTTATTCCCAGTTTTTCATATTGTATGTTTTTAGTAATTCTAATTGTGTTTACGTTTTATATTTCTGTTTGTTTTAAAATAAATGTAGACTTTTTCCTTTGTTTTTTCGGCCTGCCGCAAACCTGCCATTGATTTATTTTATTATGATTATTTATTTTTTGTATGGATCAGATCTTAAGATTTCAAAAATCACTACAACCCAAATAATGGTGGGAACTGCGTGGATTGCAGGTTTTTGTACGTTTGTTTGTCCTTTTTTTCTTTAGCTTTGTCAATTTTTCTTTTTATTTTTTGCAATCGGTTTTAGTTACTGTGTCACGATTAATGGTTCAACTTTTGTTTAATGTTGTGTGATTCATTTTTGTTTTATTGTGTTTTACGTTATAAAATACAGTTTTGTGTGGCGGGCAGATTAATCGAGTAGGCCATAGGGTTAACGCTGGGACTCTGGGATCGCCTTTTTCTTTCCGAGCTGCAAGACCCACCGAACCGAAAGTAATGTAGAGGGAATGTTTATGGGCACAGAAACCAAAGGTAATAATATATTAAGAAGAAAATACAATGTTTATATGAGCCTTTGAATTTATTTTGCTGGACCGTCTATGTTTTGTTTTATTTTGTAGCCATTTTTATGTTTCGTTTTAATGTTATTTTTTGTCTCAGTTTCTTGTTTATTGTGTTCTTGTTTTCCATTTGTTTTTGTTTTTTTAGCTTTCCTTTTAGTTGTTTGTTTTAATTCTTAGTTTTTCATAGTTTTTATATTGTCTGTTCTTAGTGGTTTTAATTGTGTTTACGTTTTATATTTGGGTTTGTTTCAAAAGGAATGGAGACTTTTACCTTTGTTTTTTTCGGCCCACCACAAACCTGCCATTTACTTTTTTTTTATTATAATTATTATTTTTTTTAGTATGGATCAGATCTTGAAAAAAAAAAAAAAAATAGCGGTGACAGCTGCGTGGATTACATTTTTTTTTGTACGTTTGTTTGACCAGAGTCCATTTTTTCCTTGGCTTTGTCAATTCTGATTTTTATTTTTTTGCAATCGGTTTTAGTTACTGTGTCACGATTAATGGTTCAACTTTTGTTTTATGTTCTGTGGTTCATTTTTGTTTTATTGTGTTTTACGTTTTATTGTGTTTCATGCGCTGTAGTCCGTTTGTTTTATTGTTTCTGTTTTATTGTGTTTTATGTTCTATCCGTCGGATACTGCCGCCGCCTCACCTGTGTCCAGCCCTTCGGATGCTGTTACCACCTCACCTGTGTCCAGTCCGTGGGATGCTGTTGGCGCCTCACCTGTGTCCAGTCCGTGGGATGCTGTCGCCGGGTAGGCTTCCTCGTAATTAATGTTTGTCGGCAGCTTCGGACTCCCGTGCCCGTGGATAGTTGTAGTGATCTGAACATATTATGTATATGGCCACAGAAACCAAAGGCAATAATATGTTAAGAAAATGCAATGTGTATATGAGCCTTTGAATTTATTTTACAGGACCGTCTTAGTTTTATTTTATTTTTCAGCCTTATTTCATGTTTCGTTTTAATATTATTTTATGTTGTGTCTCAGTTTCTTTTTTGTTGTATTATTGTTTTACTTTTGTTTTCTTAGCTTTCATTTTAGTTCTTTGTTTTAATTCCTAGTTTTTCATATTTTTATACTGTCTGTTCTTAGTGGTTTTGATTGTGTTTACGTTTTATATTTCGGTTTGTTTGTTTGAAAATGATTGTAGACTTTTACCTTTGTTTTTTTTTCGGCCTACCACAAACTATTATTTTATTAAACTATTTTATTATGATTATTATTACTATTTTTTTAGTATCAGATCTTGAAATTTGAAAAAGCACTGCAACCCAAATAATGGTGGCAGCTGCGTGGATTGCAGCTTTTTTTGTACGTTTGTTTGACGGTTCCAGAGTCCATTTTTCCTTAGCTTTGTTTTAATGTGTTTTACGTTTTATTGTTTTATGTTCTTTAAACTATTTATTTTATTGTGTTTTATGTTATATTGTGTTTTATGCTCAATCCGTCGGATGCTGTTGCCGCCTCACCTGTGTCCAGTCCGTGGGATGCTGTTGCCGCCTCACCTGTGTCCAGTCCGTGGGATGCTGGTGCCGCCTCACCTGTGTCCAGTCTGTGGGATGCTGGTGCCGCCTCACCTGTGTCCAGTCCGTGGGATGCTGTTGCCGCCTCACCTGTGTCCAGTCTGTGGGATGCTGGTGCCGCCTCACCTGTGTCCAGTCCATGGGATGCTGGTGCCGCCTCACCTGTGTCCAGTCCATGGGATGCTGGTGCCGCCTCACCTGTGTCCAGTCCATGGGATGCTGGTGCCGCCTCACCTGTGTCCAGTCCGTGGGATGCTGTTGGCGCCTCACCTGTGTCCAGTCTGTGGGATGCTGGTGCCGCCTCACCTGTGTCCAGTCCGTGGGATGCTGTTGGCGCCTCACCTGTGTCCAGTCCGTGGGATGCTGTTGCCGCCTCACCTGTGTCCAGTCCGTGGGATGCTGTTGGCGCCTCACCTGTGTCCAGTCTGTGGGATGCTGGTGCCGCCTCACCTGTGTCCAGTCCATGGGATGCTGGTGCCGCCTCACCTGTGTCCAGTCCATGGGATGCTGGTGCCGCCTCACCTGTGTCCAGTCCGTGTGATGCTGCTTTTGCCGCCTCATCTGTGTCAAGTCCGTGGGATGCTATTGCCGCCTCACCTGTGTTCAGTCCGTGGGATGCTTTTGCCGCCTCATCTGTGTCCAGTCCGTGGGATGCTGTTGGCGCCTCACCTGTGTTCAGTCCGTCGGATGCTGTTGCCATCCAATAATAAAGCCATGACTGGTTTTAATGCTGTGAAGGAGGAACCCCAGGTGAGTGTTATGGCCCCAGCACTTACAAATCTGTAAGTCCCCTCTGAAGATAACCCTAATGAATTGCCATGCTTAGATCATTTGGAGGATTGTTAGTTTTTAATGTCCTTAATTGTTTTATTTGTATGTCCGTATTTCTGTCTATGTTTTAGTTCATGATTTTAACCTTTCGTTTATATATTGATTGTACAGTTTCGTTATTGTAACCAGCAAAATAAATTCTACCAGGGTATCGTTGCGAATTAACGTATTTTAAAATAGAACCAAAAGAAAAGCGTCCGCCATGTTTTTTTTCGACCGCTCTCGACTTTTGTGTGGCGGGCAGATTAATCGAGTAGGCCATAGGGTAACGCTGGGACTCTGGGATCGCCCTTTTCTTTTCGAGCTGCAAGACCCACCGAACCGAAAGTTATGTAGAGTGAATGTTTATGGGCACAGAAACCAAAGGCAATAATATATTAAGAAGAAAATGCAATGTTTATATGAGCCTTTGAATTTATTTTGCTGGACCGTCTTAGTTTTATTTTATTTTGTAGTCTTATTTTATGTTTCGTTTTAATGTTATTATTTTATGTTGTCTCAGTTTCTTTTTTATTGTGTTCTTGTTTTACGTTTCGTTTTTTTTAGATTTTATTTTAGTTGTTTTAATTTCTATTTTTTCATAGCTTTTATATTGTGTTTACGATTTATATTTCGGTTTATTTGTTTTGGTACCACAAACCTGCCATTTATTTATTTTATTATGATGATGATGATTATTGTTTTTTAGTATGGATCAGATCTTGAAATTTCAAAAATCACTGCAACCCAAATAATGGTGGCAGCTGATGAGTGGATTGCAGGTTTTTTGTACGTTTGACTGTTCCAGAGTCCATTTTTTTCTTTAGCTTGTGTCTATTTTTCTTTTTCTTATTTGCAATCGGTTAGTTACTGTGCCACGATTATTGGTTTAACTTTTGTTTTATGTTCTGTGATTCATTTTTGTTGTATTGTGTTTTCTGTTCTGTAATCTATTCGTTTTATGTTTTACCTTTTATTGCTTTATACTCTGTAATCCGTTTGTTTCATTGTGTTTTATGCTCTATCCGTCGGATGCTGTTTCCGCCTCACCTGTGTCCAGTCTTTCGGATGCTGTTTCCGCCTCACCTATGTCCAGTCCGTGGGCTGCTGCTGCCGCCTCACCTGTGTCCAGTCCGTGGGATGCTGCTGCCGCCTCACCTGTGTCCAGTCCGTGGGATGCTGCCGCCCCCGCCGCCGCCGCCGCCTGTGTCCAACCCACCTGACATAGGAGAGGTCGTCAACCCCGATTTTGACTTTGAAGAAGATGGCTTTGACTTACAGCAAGGCCAAGTGGACTTTGGGTTCAGTGAAGACGAGGTCCATGTTTTCCTGAGCTAAAGTTTGACCCTGTTCCTGTGGATGTTACCTTACCCCCACTTCCCGAGTTTGAAGAAAAAGGTTTAATTTCATCAACATGGTTTTGATGCTGTGGAGGAGGAACCCCAGGTGAGTGCACTCCATCACCACCATAACCATCATCACCACCATCATCATCATCATCGTCACCACCATCACCACCAACACCACCACCACCACCACTACTATCACTACCACCACCACCACTATCACTACCACCACCACCACCACTATCACTACCACCACCACCACCACCACCACCATCACTACCACCACCACCACCATCACTACCACCACCACCACCACCACCACTACCATCACTACCACCACCACTACCATCACTATCACCACCACCACTATCACTATCACTATCTATCACTACCACCACCACCACCATTACCACCATTATCACCACCACCAACACCACTATCACCACCACCACTATCACTATCACTATCTATCACTACCACCACCACCACCATCACCACCACTATCACCACCACCAACACCACTATCACCACCACCAACACCACTATCACCACCACCACTATCACCACCACCACTATCACCACCACCACCACTACTATCACCACCACCACCACTATCACCACCACCACCATTACTATCACCACCACAGTCATTATCACCATCACTATCGCCATCACCACTATAGTGATCTGAACATTTTTAAGTGGGTTAACCCCTTTATTTGTGGAGCGCTATCTCTTGGCCAGCACGCCTCTCCAAGGAAGGCTGGCCAAAAATGCACTTTTTTAACAATTAACGTTTTATATACTTTTTTATTGAGTTTCATTTGGTTTAGTTGTTAGTTTTTAATGTCCTTAATTGTTTTATTTGTATGTTTGTCCGTATTTCTATTTGTTTTAGTTCATGATTTTAACCTTCCGTTTATCGTATTTTTGAACTTTTATTTGTTCTTATTTTTATCGTTTAAACTTGTTTGTTCTTATTTTTATCGTTGGGAATTAACATGTTTTAAAATAGAACGAAAAGATAAGTGTTTTTTCCAGCCTACCACAAACCTGCCATTTATTTTTTTTATTTGATTATTTTTTTTTTGTATGGATCAGATCTTAAAATTTCAAAAATCACTACAACCCAAATAATGGTGGCAGCTGCGTTTGTTTGACTATTCCAGAGTCCATTTTCCCTTAGCTTTGTCAATTTTTATTATTTTTTTTTTTTTCAATAGGTTTTAGTTACTGTGTCACGATTATTGGTTTAACATTTGTTTTATGTTCTGTGATGTTTTACTGCTTTACGTTTTTTGCTTTATGTTCAGTAATCGGAGCGGACATCAGCAGCGACCATGAGCTCGTCATGATGTCCTTCCGCCTACACCTCAAGAAGATGAAGAAGAAACAGGGCCACACCAGAATTAAGCTTGATCTGAAGAAATTGGAGGACCCTGATGTGGCACAAGTCTTCGAGGCCAAGATTGGAGGGAAATTCGCTTTCATCGACACATTCGGTCAATGAAGTTATCGGCAAGAATCGGACCACAAAGAAGCCTTGGGTCACATCAGACTTACTCAAGCTGTGACGAAAGGAGAGACCTGAAGCAGTTCAAGTATGAAAGTGAGGAGGGAGTGGAGAAGTACAGGAAAGCTGACAAACAGGTCAAGATGAGCATGCTCAAGGCAAAGGAAGACTGGTTTACTGATATGTGCAATGTCATTGAACAGAACCTCCAAGCAAACGCCAAGAAGGCCTACCAAGAAGTGAAGGACCTCACCAGCAGCAAGCAAGGACGGCCCAGAACCATTCTCGACAAAAATGGGAAGTGTCTGACCTAGTCCAAAGACATCTTGAACAGGTGAACAGAGTACACCGCAGATCTATACTCATACCGCGGAACAGGAAACACAGAGAAGCTCAACACCCCCCTGACAACAGACAAACAGTTTCCCCATCCTCAGAGAAGTGGAGGAAGCAGTGAAGTCCCTGAAGAAAGGAAAATCAGCATGTATTTGTAACATCCCAGGAGAACTAGTGCAAGCAGGTGGTGAGGCCATGATCGATGTGCTACATGCAATCTGCCAGAAGATCTGGGAGACAGGGGAGTGGCCAACACCATGGACCCAGTCTTTAGTGATCACCCTACCCAAGAAAGGCAACCTACAACAGTGCAACAACTACCGCACCATCAGCCTTGATATGCCATCCTAGCAAAGTGATGCTCAGGATCATATTGAACAGGTTAAGACCCCAGACTGAAGCAATTATAGGTGAAGAGCAGGCAGAATTCAGGGCAGGGCGCAGCACAACTGAGCAGATCTTCAAGCTCAGGATTCTGTGCGAGAATTACCTTCAACACCAACAAGAACTCTACCACATATCCTTAGACTTCAAGAAGGCATTTGACAGAGTGTGGCGTGCGGTAGTATGGGCTACC